AATTTTGATCATTAAAAATAAAAAAATTAATTAAAATTTTATATAAATATAATATATAAATATATTTTTACACCTAAAAAATATATTTAGCAAGAATTACATAATTTATTTTATTTAAAAAAAAAAAACTCACGATTCACTAAAATTCAAACCTACCGAGGACCTCAACATTTATCACCAGGATAAATACATAATTGTATATCTTATGTTGCTGTTAATGAGAAATTATTTTTAGATGTGAAAAATTGAGAAAAGCAAATAGAGTACATGGTAGTAATTAGTATATAATTATTGTCGTCATATCATACACAAGTACAGTAGTATTAGTAATTTTATTTAGTTTAATGGTTACAAATAATTGATAATTAATATAAATAAAATTATTAATATTTATTACTTTATGCATTAAAATTATAAACAACATAACTAATTATTTAAAGTAAAAAAAATCTAAATTTATATAGCGAAAACAATTTGTCTGCAGCAAAACCTAAAGTAACACTCTTTTCTTGCATGCAAGAAGGATAGGTGAATTTTTGTTTAGAAATTCTTCTAGAATGATAATTATTTTTTTATATTTTAAAAGGGGTAAATATTTTATTTTACATTAATTTTATGATTATTGTTTAGTTTTGATAATTTATTTCATCATTTTTTTTAATTTTTATACTAAAATAAGTTTAAAATATCCTTAAATGTTTAATCTAAAGCTAAATTAAAAAAAAAAAGAATGTTTAACAATTAAACTATCAATAATAATAAGAAATTAAAATCTATTTAATAAATCAAAACACAGAAAAAAATTAATAAAATATTTACAAAATTTCGCAAATACTCTTTAAGCTTTTTAAATAATAAATCATTCTAATTTTTACTTTTCACAATAAAAAAGAATTTTTTAATATGTATTTTTAAAATAAAAATTAAAAATATTTTTGTATTATAAATATACATAAAAAATATAAAAATTAACAATAATTTTAATTTTAATTTTAATATTAAATAAATAAATTTAATTTAAATAATTAATAAATTAAAAACTAATTTTATTATTTAATATAAATTATAATAAAAATATACAATTAATACAAACTTAATTTATATTTAATATAAAACTTAGACAACACTAAAAAATTAAAAATATTCACTATCATGGGACATATGCATAGGCAGTAATAATAAAGGCCAAGCCAAAGTCCAATGCAACAAATTTTGACAACACTAATGGGGAACCACCAGTACACAATAATCAAGGAACGGCTGCCAGCTGTGCAGTGAACTGTCCGGAGAATCTGCTAAGCCGGGACCCACTAATTTGACTACTCATTCATCCTCATCCCACGTGTTATCCATCTATGCTGCTGCGCATCCATCTTACGCTGTAACCATCCCGCACACAACCCATCCCCTAACTCCAGATCTCCTCCGTCCAATTCTCCCAGAGTTCACTCTCGATAAGATTTTCCAAACACACGTCGGAAATCCTCCATTTCCCCAATTTACCCCCACCGACCTCCAAAATTTCCATACCCTCACCTCTCCCAACGTACACGTAATACTCACCAATTTCAAGGGTATAAATCGGAATGGACAATTCATCGAAAACGACCCTTGCTTGGACCTTTTTTAAATTTCCAATGCCGCCCCACCCTTTCGTCCTTTTTTGTCTTTTCAGTTTAATCCCTCCTCGCATTTTCTCATTCTCTCTCTAGAATCTCAGAACAATTCTCTCTCCTCCAAGCTCTGGGTTCCTTCTTCCCCTTTGTTTTCTGTTTTCAGTACCTCTCTAAATTGGGAAAAATCGATTAGATAATTCCTCTAAAAGGTATGACTTTTTAGTAAAATCAAACCCACTAAGGAAAACCAGAGAGAGTTTCTGGGCATTTTATTGATTTTCAATTGCAGGTCAAAGTTCAGATTTTTTTTACCCTCTGGATTGCTGGGAGCTTCTTGTAAGGTAATTGGTTTCGGATTTCATGAATATTTATTGATATAGTGAGTTGCATTTTTAGTATTAATTTTGTTTCTCTTATTGTCCAAATTTATGTTCTTTAACGCGTTTTTTCCAGTGAGGAAGGTTTGTTGATCTTTATACCTGTATTTGAAGTCAGTTTTGGGCATGGGAAACCCACACATTCAAGGGTTTTCCTAGGTTTTTGTTGTTGATCTTAATTCATTTTGCAGTAAAGGTTGCTACTTTTCACAGCTTCTGAATATCTTTTCTATTTTTTTTATTTAAATCTCAGTCCTTTCTGCTTATTTTGAGGTTCCCCTCCTGGGTGGGTTCAGTTTTTTTTTTTTTTAATTTTCCTCCGTTTTCATGCTTACTTTTCTGGGTTTTCTTCCTCCTACTGTTTTCTGCTTCCGAACAAAATACAAAGCTGAAAGTAAGTTTTAGGCCTCTTGTTTTGTTCTGTTTTTTTCCTCCTCTGATGTCTATTTTTTTTTTTCCAGATTTTTTTATTTAAAATTTGGATTTTTCTTAATGGTGTGGAGTTTTAATCGCATAGTTTCGGTTTTATCAGAGGTGGCCATTGAAAGACAAAGACTGCTGTTGATTTGTCTCATCATTCTGTTTTCTTGAGGCACACGTTTCAATCAAGTGAATGAATTTGATAAATCTCGGCGATATCTCTGGATTTTTTCCAAGGTACGTTTACCTTTCTCGGGGTATCTCCTGCTCAAGGAAATTTCTGGCTGAGTTTTGTTTTTTGATTTGGTGAGTTGCTGGATTTTGTTAATATTTATTAATTAACAAGTTTTGATGTAGCTTTCCTTACAATTAAGTATAGGTATGTTACCGTGTTTGCAAAGTATAACTATTGTATCAAACGCCACTTAAAAAAAAAAAAAAAAACTTTGATTGAATTAAAAAATGGGTTGTTGTGGCTTTTTGAAAATTGGAATTTTTTTTAATCTTATGAAAAAAATTTGTAAAAGAATGTTTTGTACTATTCTGAATGGAGGGGGGAATCATATGTTTTATATTTCACTCTGGTACAATTAAGAAATTGAAACTTTAAAGTTATTGTCCACTTTCTGTTGGACCTAAGTAGAGCTTTAAAAAAAAAAGTATTGATTGAGTACAGCCTTTCTAAAATATATATGGATTACTCATGACTTACTTTTGAAAAATGAATAAGATTCACTAAGCTCTTTTGCATTAGTCATGGTATGTAGCTTTAGCTTTTAGTGTTCCTTACATAAATACATTGAACTAATCTCTAGCCTTAGAGGCCCTTTTAGGAAAATCATGTTTGAGCTAACTTTTACTAAGAGAAATTGTTTTAGAAATTAGGTGATTTTGGCATTTCATGAAACATAAAAAGAGAGAGACAAAGAGACAGAGAGGGGGAAAAAATGGTATTTTAGAATAAATAAATTAAAATTCCTTCATGGTGAACATGGAGCATTATTATTATTATTATGAGTATTTTTTTTAAGGTTAAAGTACTAATTTAGTCCCTTAACTTTCAATTATGTGTTGTTGAAATTGTCCTTAAACTTCAAAAAGCATCAAAATTATACTTGAATTTTAATTTTCAATATCAAAATAGTCTTTCCATTATTGAAAATGAAAATGTCATGTGACTCATTATTTTGTCACAAAATTATTATTTTTTTAAATATTAATGACATGTAAAATTAAACAATTATAATTTGTTATTGTGATATATTTTTATTTATACATTAGGTTGATATATAATTAAAGTTGAACAACTAAATCGATTTTTATAATCAAAGTTTAAAGACCAAGTTGATATTTGTTTTCAAAGGTCAAGTACTAAGTTGGTACCAAAAATTAAAGTTTAATCTTTTTAAAATTTAAGGACAATTTTAATACAAATCTGAAAGTTGAGGGCCCGACTTGATATTTTAACCTTTAGGGCCCTTGATATTTTAGCCTTTTCCTAAAGGTGACATTTTCCCGATTTGCCAACTGGGGCAAATTGGCTAAGGTGTGAATCCGAGACAAATTGACTCCAATCTCAATAAATCTAAAATGCTTCAGAAATCCAATGGCCATTATAGCATAATTGGCAACTTTTCAGTGCATTGGGAGTTACCATCGGTCTTTGTATTTTTATATATTTATATACATATCTGATAGTGATTCATGAATCATGACTGGTAAGAATAGGTCAAGAAAAAGAAATGGTCTTTTGCATGCAGTGTCAGTGTGTCACTCATGACTCATTGGAGGACCACGTGAATTTGCAAAGATCATGGATATATATGCAGTAAAACGGTCCTAAATTCAGATATTCACTATGGTGGCCCCCTAGTAAGCCCAGGGTACTTTGTTGTGACTGTTGTGGGCCTTCAATCAATCTAGGGAACCTTTTTAGGGGTACCATGGTTTAAGGGGTTGTGATGCATGGACCCAGAAGAATCCTATGAGGTGTGAACCAGCAAGCCCCAACTCATCAGTTGTTCTAACGATCTTTTTTTTTTTTCTTTTTGTGGGGGTTGTTTTTGTTTTATTTCTTTTAGAATTTATGGGAGAATGTCTAATAAATTTTTTTATAATTGATCAATTTGTCTGGGAGGGGGGATTTTTTTAAAAAAATATTGTGGGGTTAAATAATGCCATTTGAGAAGAAATTTTCCTTGGAGAATTCATGTGGTCCCTGGACCACTTGCCTGCTATCAACACTGTTTCTTTGGGAGCAAAATTTGTCATGTTGTAGTTATTTTCTTCTTCCTGTAGAATTTTCAAATTTCTACGCTTGAAATTTGGATTTTTTTTTTTTTATGGGAAAATTGTCTTGAATAGTATGATAAAGGCGCTTTTACATTTGTGGTTTAATCTTTCTCTACTAAACTCTCTTGATTGATTTAATTTTTCCTGAAATTTTCATTGATGTTTTATGAGTCACAATCTGATTGGACAGAAAAAATTTATCCAAAGATGAACTTCTTTGAAGAATATATGGTGCATTAAAATTTATAAAGAAACTAAAACATGGGAAGTCTAGGGAAAATTATTGTCAATTGATCATGATTTTTCCAGTGGAGTACGAACAATCAGAAAGAAATATGTTAAATTATTTTCTTGTCTCTCCTTGGAACTGGAAAGCCATTTTATTTTTGGCAAGTGGGCTATTATATAGAGAATATTGAATGGCACATATAAATTTGACTCTATTAGGAACAAGGCAACATCTATAAAAGGACAGCAGGCAAGTTTCTTGATGTCTTTGTTCCTTAATTCTCCACCATTAGATTATTTGTTGAATAGAATATCTATGCCAAGGGGCTTACTATTGGAGAGACAGCCATTTAGAACTCTTAAACATTAAACGCGTCTTTTGAACATGGAATCCAGCTTCTTCTTCTTCTTCTTGGTCTCTGTTCGTCTTCTTGTTTTTCCCATTCTAAAAGTCTGATTCTTTTTCTCTGTTTCAAAAGAAAGCAAAATAGAAACTCTTAAAAGGCAAAAAAATAAACAAAAAGAAACTCCTTTCCTTTAATGGCCTTGGTCTAAGTGTTGAAAGCAAATTGCTTTTCACTTTTCCTCCAACACGCTCATTATTGTCATAATTATCTTGAATATTTATTTTGTGTTCCTTCCCACCTCCCTTTTCTCTATTCTCCTAGTTCCTCATTTGGTGAGTTAACTGTTCAGATTGTTTATTGTATTTGAATGCTGCAGATGGAATCTGTGAAACCATCAGCAGTTACTCAATCAAAGAGTAAATTGGCACGTGCCTTTGCGAAAGTTCTTCACCTCCATGCAGTAGCAGCAGCAGGGGTTGCTCCTGATGATGGGGTTCAGAAGGTTAAGCCCGAAGGAGAGGTGAAGGATGACCAGGTTGCCGATAAAACTGCTGAGTCCTTGTCTAAGACATTTGACAAACTTGATAAAGAGCTTGAAAGGGTGACCTTGGAAGCACTTGTTGCGAAACTCTTTGCTACCATTTCAGCAGTTAAGGCAGCATATGCCCAGTTGCAGTATGCCCAGTCCCCCTATGATGCCGATGGGATTCAGGCTGCTGACAAATTGATAGTTTCAGAGTTGAAGACTTTGTCAGAGTTGAAGCAGTGTTTCTTGAAGAAACTATATGATCCTTCACCAGAGCATACAATTCTTTTAGCTGAAATTCAGGAGCAGAAAAGTCTCCTAAAGACGTTTGAAATTATGGGGAAGAAGTTAGAATCTCAGCTGAAGCTCAAGGATTCTGAGGTCATATTCCTTAAAGAGAAGTTGGAAGAAGCCAATAAGCAGAACAGGTTGCTGGAAAAGAGACAAAGTCAAAGTGGTCAATTATCTGTGCTTGAAAATCTTCACATCTCAGGATTAAATCCAAGCCATTTCCTTACTCTTCTTCAATATACTGTCAGGTCCATGCAAAGTTTTGTGAGGGTGATGATTGATGAGATTAAGTCTGCTGATTGGGATACTGATGCTGCAGCTAGTTCAATAGAACAAGATGTGGTTTACTGGAAAGCAGATGATAAATGTTTTACATTCCAGTCCTTTGTTTGCAGGGAGATGTTCAGTGACTTCCATTACCCTTTCTTCTCTCTTCGAAGTGACTCTTCCTCCGAGAAAAAGAAATGGCGACAAGTATTCTTTGAGAGATTCAATGAATTTAAGTCCATGAAAGTGAAGGAATACCTTGCCATGAAGCCCAGATCAACATTTGCAAAATTTTGCCGTATCAAGTATTTGAGACTTGTTCACCCGAAGATGGAGGCATCGTTTTATGGCAACTTGAGCATCAGAAACAAGGTGACATCTTATCAATTTCCAGACTCAAGCTTCTTCGCCTCATTTGCTGAAATGGCTAGGCGAGTTTGGCTCCTGCACTGTTTAGCGTTTGCTTTTGAGACTGAGGCATCAATCTTCCAAGTATCCAAGGGGTGTAGATTCTCTGAAGTATACATGGAAAGTGTAGCAGATGAAGCATTCCTTTCAACCAACCTCCCTCTGGAATCCGAGCCACAAGTGGCGTTCACTGTTGTTCCCGGATTCAGAATTGGTAAAACAATCATACAATGCCAGGTCTATCTCTCCCACTTCCATTCCAAGGTAAACCATTAATCATACATCAGAGATAGTTATTCACTCCCACCACAAATTGAGCTGGATGCCATTTATCTTGATTTTTTGAGTAAATTAGATGAGAGAAAATGGTTTGCCTCGTTGATATGTGTGTTGTGGGGAGCTGAAAGAAGGTTACCCAGGCATCTTTGTCTCTTTGTTCTAGGCTTCATTGACTGGTAGTTTGTTGTCTGTAAGGGACAAAATCTCCCCAGATTTTGTTAATATTAGGCCAATGATCAATGTTTAGCTGTTCTGCATTATTATTACCTTATGAAATGATTTTATATGTAAATGAGTATAGGTTGGAGGAATTTTCCTCTTTTTATGTGTGCATGAATACCTCTGGAGAATTTGGATGCTGTCCCAGGATGGATGTCTCCAGCTTTGTCTCTTTGTTGTTAAAAAATGCCCTTTAAGATCTTCTGATGCAATAATAATACACACAGCTTTAGATTAACATTATAAAACCCCTGTTGGGGTCCCAAAATGAGAACACTACTTTGTTGATATGGTCATTCATGCGATGCAACCATTTTGCATTTTTCCACCTCTCTGGGGATTGGAAAATGGTATCAACTTGTTTAAATGTAAGATCTAACATCTGTAAATTAGATAAGTCTACAAAGTGAAAATATAACTAGATAAGTCTACAAAGTGAAAATATAACTAACCTGCATTATTTATTACCAATTAATTTTTAATGGGAGACTTTCTAAGCATTTAGGACGCAAAGTCACAGACTTTGAATGTAAAATTAAATTAGTAAAAACTAGTATTAGTAAAAGAACTTTTTGGAATAATGATAGGGGATCAAAATTTTGAGACTATTAATGTGATATAAGTAATGTTATTAAATTAATTGATATATATAATATTATAAATTTAAAAAAAATAAAAAATTAATTATTTTTTAATATAAAATTTATTTTTTAATATTTTAAATGACATCGTTATCTGAAATTTTAATTCTAAATTTTCATTTTATTTATTTATTTATTTTTTCACAACTAGCTTTGAAGTTACTTGAATATTAGAATGGGATTGCTGAATTTTTCAAACTGACCTGTCAACATAAATTCGGCAGTTGAGGCATTAATATTAGGCTAGGTAGTAATAACTGAGTTGCTTCCCTGAAGGGAAATTATTGTTTTTTTCGGTTTCCTCTGGCAAGGAAAATTATTTTGTGGTCCAATTTTTGTTCATGATTAAGGAACAACCACGTACTTTTATTTTGTCAGTGTGAATTGAATGTTGCCTGGTTTTGATCCTTCCAAGTGAGTTGGACGATTAGATCATCAATGATCAAATGTAATGCTAGAGTTTGTTTTACTAAATAATAATACTCTATACAAACAAGATATTCGATCTAACAGTTTGTTTACAAACCTTATTACATAAGTATAATTAATTGAAAATTTGATTTTTATTAACGAATTTGAAAAAAAAATTTATTCTTTAAAATTCTCTCATGTTAAAAAAATAAAAATTTTAATTTAAAATTAATAATAAATATTTAAAATTTTATAATATTACTTTTTTTTTATGGACCACTTAATATTCGAAAGTTCACTAAATCACCGATTAATTTAGGTTCGAGTCAAGCAGGACTTAATAGATGACAATGATCTCCCTCATAAGTTTTAATAGATCTGTATTCCCAAGACTTGAAATCAAAATTTTTAATTAAATTGAAAAAATTCTTTTCAACTCATTCACATGTTCAAAGGTGTAATACTACTTCATAAAATAAAAAAATATTTTATCAACTAACTCCCTAATATATATATATATATATATAGATCTTCAATGTAACAAAGAAAAATCATATTAGGGACCTATCCTAGAAGCTAATCGTATTAGTTATTGAATATGTGCTCCCATTGGACGGGTTTTCCATGCCAAAAAATTCAAAAAAAAGAAAAAAGAAAAAAAGAAAAATCATACTACTCCTACTCCGTGAATTCCGCTGCTACATCAGTTTCACCCGGACATGTAAAAAAAAAAAAATGAAGTATAGGGATTATAATGAACATTTTCACAAATTATAGAAACCAAAGTTGGCATTAACTCTTCAGTTTTCCTCCTTGACTGATTAACCGGCGTTGCGGCATCATTACTAACATGTTCTGCGTTTCCGAGCTCGAGATATACAGAGAAAGGGCCTGATCGAAATGCTAGAATCGGAAACTCCAAATTATGTGGTCAATGCCAGAGCTCAATAAATGATAAAAACAGAACTCTGATGATAGTCAGCGGCGCCAAGAAGGAA